GCCGAGCAGGGAGCCCGATGCGGGACTCGATCCCGGGACTCCAGGATCATGACCTGAGCCGAAGGCAGTCGCCCAACCAACTGAGCCACCCAGGCGCCCGAGTTGATTTGTTTTGCCATGTTTTTGTTTTGCATCTTTGAGGGTGACTTTTGAGCATAAAAAAGACCATGTATAGCTAATTTAAGGTTTAAAAAATGAAAAATCAACATATTAAAATTTTGTAATTTAAAACCTAGTTTTTTAACACAAAAGAAAACAAACTTTAAAAAAGTCCAGTCACATCTCTTATTCTATTTGTAGGTCTAGTGAAATTTAGCAGTTCAAAGGGGACTTTTACAGCTTAATTAAATTTCTTTAAATATTTTAAACTGTATTTACACATTTAAAATGTTTTATTTTCTCTTTGAAGTACTTCAGTTGTTTGTCTAACAAAACATTGAGTTTCAAAGTAACTATAATTATATTTATTTAGTAATAAATTAAAATACAACTAATAATATAAATATGGTGCATCTTAGATTATCTTTACCATTTGTAAGGCTATTAAATTTATCTTTTACCTTCCAACGTAAAAGTTTATCAAAATGAATTATTCAGTGGCATATTTAAATTGAACTAGTAAGGCTAATCTATTAATCTTGACAGGGTAAATTTTCTTAATTGTTACAGATACTTTCGAGACCAAGTATACACAAGTTGTCTTTAAATTTAATATGAAAAATATTAATACTGAAGACGTGATTTACTTTATTTCTGTGCCTAATACTTAATTATCTCTGGTTAAAAGATAACCACAAAAGAATATTATGCCACCCCAAGCAAGATGGGTGGAGGGTGTGGTTACCATCTTGGTGCATTGAGGTTATTTATCAACCAGGGAGACTGGGCTGGGATGCAGAAATTAATTCTTACCGTTGACATCCATGGGGTGCCCTGAACCCCAGTTATAGCCCCTAGAATAGGAACCCCCACATTTATGAAAAGGCTGGTCTCAAGGCTGAGGGCATTTACGTCCAACTTATACATAAATTAAGTCTTCTGTCTGGCTTGAAATTGCTACATCCTTGTCAGGATATAATAGCTTCCTTTACTGCTTGCTTTAATTTGCATTTCTTTCACTGTCTTAAGACAGTGTACTATTATCTTTTGTCTGGTTCTAAAGATACATTTGTCTAATCCTTTATAACCAACCTTAATTCTTCCGCGAACATTTTGACCATTATGGTCTGATTTGAGTGAACAGGATTCTGTTCTCTTAGTGTTGTTCCTGCTTAACAGGGCCACAGTTCTCACCAATAATAAAACGACATTCAGTTTTATTCTACCCATCCCTTGTGGCTCCATCTAGCTCTTGAGTCACAACACTGAAGTCACGCTCCTGACATAGGAGAGACCATTGTGATATACTTGATGGGATTTGTCAGTTGATTCATGACCAGCTGCTCCTCAGCATGCCCAGGTGTGACACATCCAGCTCGTGGGGCTGAAAACAGCATTACCCTTCTCCTTGCTCAGCCAAGATCCATTTGTGTCATCTTGAGCAAGTCATTTAACTGTTTGGGCCTCAGTTTCCTCATTTTTAAGTTGTAAGAACTCTTAGTTTTAAAATCCTATTATCTGTTAAATTCTAATGTAGGAGAGCCTGAATATTGGTGTTTTACTGTGTTTCGTGTAGGCATTACTCAAGAATTAACTAAATTTTATCTTCTTGGAAATTATGGAGAGCAGTGAGATAATAAATGGTTTTACTTTCTTCCAGATCTTTGATGATGCATACAAATCCCAGCTTAGTTGTGTGGTTGTGGATGACATTGAAAGACTGCTTGGTAAGTCATAACTTCTGACATTGTACTATCTTTGCGACATTACACTAATGTCTCACAAAGTCCAAGAGAAAAATAACAGGTATTTATAAACTATAGGGCAATAAGAATACTTTCCTTTGTCTTACAAGGAATTATGTTATATCTGAAGTCAGTGATGGTATTCATGTTAAATATGCCTTATGACCGTAACTCCATCATAAACTGCTTTCCCGTCAGGGCCCACACCTCATATTATTTTGTTTCTTCCACAGAGTTCTCTACCCCTAGTAAATGATTAGTAGTTTCCATTGATGGATATATTTGCTATTTAGTACCTCTGAGCTTGCCTGTACCCCAGAATTTCCACTTAGGAACTTCGACAGAACTAAGGGAAGAAGGGCCTGTGAATGGAGTGAAATAACACTTGGGAGAAGCTGCAAGTTCTCTTGTACCTCAGTCTCTGTTTTATAAGAACGAGTCCCTGTTATAATGCATTTATTCCAGATTTACCTAATTTTTGCAATGAAATCAAATGTGCCTGTTTTATAAGAACAGAGGCTGTGTTCCCTTCCTTACTTATCCCATTGAGTAATTGTGCAGACAAAAATGGGGTAACAGTGTTGAAAACATTCTGAAATGTTTACAGGTGCTGTATAGTTAAAAAAATTTTTTTAAATATTGATTACCCATCTCTTATGCTAAAATGCACTGCTACAGGGGCGCCTGGGTGGCTCAGTCGTTAAGCGTCTGCCTTCCGCTCAGGTCATGATCCCAGGGTCCTGGGATCGAGCCCCGCATTGGGCTCCCTGCTCCGTGGGAAGCCTGCTTCTCCCTCTCCCACTCCCCCTGCTTGTGTTCTCTCTCTCGCTGTGTCTCTCTCTGTCAAATAAATAAATAAAATCTTTAAAAAATAAAATAAAATGCACTGCTACAGGATACAAAGATGAATAGTAAGACAGTCCCTGTATGCAACTCATAAGGTGTAATATCCCAGTAAATGCCAGAAAAGTGTTGTTACTTATATTTTATTTCATTTCAAAAATTAGATAAATCTGGAATAAATGCATTATAATAGTGACTCGGGATGCTGTGATAACTGTATTGAAATTGAACCCACATGGTGACTTCATAAACTTCTGAAAATACTACCCAACACCTGAGTAATCCCTTCTTAAGCTATCCAAAATGGTGTAGTAATGATTTCAAGTCAACTGTTCTTACCACATTTTCCTCATGATTTTCAGACTTGCTTCAGGTCCTCCGTTAATTTATTTTCTTGTTTCTTAAGGCAATGTTTGTTATAAAGCAAAGACGTACCTATATGTAATCAGGTGTATCTGAGGTCTTCTTAATGTGATAGTTTTATCTAGTGACCTGGGGTTTTTGGTCTGCTATTTTTGATACATTTCAGCCTAGTTTATAGGATTATTTCTTTAAAAGCTTTTAAGCACAAACTCATAGCTCTGTGTAAATTCCTTTATCTAAACACAATTGAGATGTGTGGTCATAGCAACACTACTATGTCAGGAATGTGTGCCCTCTGAGTATATTTTCACTTGTATGAATAGTTATTATCTGTACTTGTTTGTTCATTTATTCGACAAGTAAGCTGAGCCCTTACTACTGTGCTAGAGTTATTAGGGTCTCAGAAAAAATAAGTAACATGCTGTTGTTGTAACACATTGGTAAAAATTACTGCAAAGTAGAATGTGCTTTGTGTTCTGGATATTCAGAAAAGGGGAAAGATCACTTTTGACTTCAGAGGGCTGGTGCCTGAAGGTAGTTCTAAGCATAAGGCAAGGGTACATATATATGCAGTATGCAGAGAAAGCTGGGGAGGGGCATTTATGCTGAATCTTGAAGAATTAGTAGAAGTTTAGCAGAAAATTTTAGAAAGTTCTCTGTTCTTCACCATCTGAGGACCAGTCTTAGTGACTCTACCATCATTTCAGTTACACTGAAGTACCTTACGTACATTAGTAATTGCCATTTCCCCCTCTACTCATTTTCTAGTATGTGTTGTTGCCTGTGAGCTTACTGTATTACCACAGTTTGCAGTCATTTCTTGGAAATGCTTGGTAAATACACCTGGGTTTTTTTCTTCCTTAAAAAAACAAAAACAACTGTCTCCGAATATTAGACAAAGATATACGCAAACAATGAATCACGGAACACTACATCAAAAACTAATGATGTCATGTATAGTGATTAACATAATAAAATAAAATTTAAAAAAAAATGTCTACCTGAACTCAAAATGGATATTTAGAAGCTTTTTAAAAAAAATTTACAGATGAGAGTTCTTACATAACCTTTTAAGCTTTTGAGTTATTGCAGATACTATTTTTCTAATTATCGTTAGTTGCATGACAGTTACTTAGGACTATGTTTACTCTTGATGCAGAAAAATCTGAATATTTGGAATATGTGCAGACGTGTATCGAATCCCTAAAACATAGCAATGTTTCTCTTCCAGATTATGTCCCTATTGGCCCTCGATTTTCTAATCTGGTATTACAGGCTCTTCTTGTGCTTCTCAAAAAGGCACCTCCTCAGGTAAAAAATAGCATAAGAAACATTTTCACAGAATTTTTCCAGTAGATTGCATATAATGGTGCAAATAAGCTGCTAAATAAGCGAGCGATCATAAACATAAAATTCTGTTGTTGAGGGGCTTTGGAAAAGTCATCTGGTCTGGCCTTCTGTTTTAAGGTAAATGATTTTCTTAACAGAGAAGTTTCCTTTCTGAATATCCCAAAATCCTAGTTTCGATTAATGTTCTGTTTTTGTTGTTCTATAAATTCCCCAGGATATTACACATCTCTAGCCACCTTCATCTCCCATGAGAGATCATGATATGCATGTAGAAGGGATTGAATATACATTCCCATTTGTTTCATTTGTCATTTGATAGAGATTTTTCCTAAGAAACTGTATTTGGGGATATTTATTTCCTGTAGGCAGATTTTTCTTTTTCTTTTTAAAAAATGTTTACAGTTAAGCTTAAATTATTTCTCTTGTGTCATGTGGCACTTTTGAGGAGGGAGTTCATAGCCAGGATCTTTGTTCATGTGGTTGCATTTTTATTGATGTGGCTACTGGAGACTGGTGATTTTGGTAACTTAACACATTTAAAAGTAATCTATGGGGGTTGGTTAAATATGCTAATTATGTAGAGGCTGCCAGAGCATGTTTGGCTATGACACAAGACAAATTCTCTTGATTGATTTTGTGTGCTGTAACCTTTGAGAAATGCCAAAGACAGATACAAAGGGGTAACTTGAAAAACATCTTAATGTCTATGGGAATCTTGTATTTGAAGTTAGAGATCTTAACTGGGCTGTATGGAAAATATTTCATGTTAAGTTGGTGAATCTGCTTTTTAATTTAACAGTTAAAATTGTGTGTGTGTGTTAGAACTAAAAGTGATGGGTCTTGATTTTCTAGGATATTTTTGGTTTTTTGTATTTCTAGAGTAGTGAAAAGAAACATAAGGTACAACAACCTTGAAAATTTACCATATATATGCACTGTAAGAATTTTGTAATCATTTTTTCATAAACCATCATTCCCAATAATTGGAGTTTTAGCTCATCCTAGATAGGCTGAAGTTAGAGAAGTGAGTATTTTTCCTTTCTCTGATTCCTTCAATAAATATGTAAATAAATAAATCTAAAGTTGCTGGAAAAGGGACACCTGGTTGGCTCAGTCAGTTAAACATCCGACTTTTGATTTTGGCTCAGGTCATGATCCAGGGTCCTGGGATCGAGCCCTGTGTCGGGCTCCCCGCTCAGTGGGAAGTCTACTTGTCTCCCTCTCCCTCTGCTCACACAGGCACACTCACTCTGTCTCTCTCTCTCTCTCTCAAGTAAATAAATAAAATCTTTATAAATAAAGTTGTTGGAAAAAGTAAACCCCAATGTCCGTATATATTACATACAAAAAAATCCTTTCCTATGAAATAGCATTTTAAAAATTATTAGATTGGGAGACTTTCTCCAGGCATTTAAATTTATATCTTATTCAGGGGTGCCTGGGTGGCTCATTTGGTTAAGCAGGTCATGATCCCAGGGTCCTGGAATCAAGTCCCGCTTTGGGCTCATTGCTCAGCAGGGAGCCTGCTTCTTCCTCTACTCCTCCCCCCTGCTCGTGCTCTCTCTCTCTCTATCTCTCAGATAAATTAATTAAATCTTTAAAAATATATATATCTTATTCAATCTTTAGCTAAAAAGAATTTATGCTAGAAGTCATTTGGGAGAAGGAAGAATAATTTTTCAATGATATTTTTCAAACTCTTTGTCCTTTACATTGTTAAATACATTTATTTAAACAGAGAGACATTCCCTGGTTGAGAATTATTTGTAATCCAGAATAGATACTGATAGAAATAAATAGAGCATATTAAAAAGACTTGCAGCATTTTGATTAAAGACTTAGGAATAACTTTCCATTTTGTAAAAATGTAAAATTCTTGAGGAAAGGAACATTATCTAATATTTTTAAATCTCACAGCGTCTGGCACAAGTTTATACAGATGTACTTCATGAATAACCTATTCAACAAAAAATATAGATAACATACTTCTAAAGATATTTTTTGAGTGCTCATTTTGGTGGGCTTAACTATTTTGTATTGTTGTAATTTATATTTGGCAAGGTATGATTAAAGTGAAAACATTCAAAAATAAATAAATTTCAAATGGCCAACGAGCACATGAAAAGATACTCAACATCATTGGCCATCAGGGAAATGCAAATCAAAGCCACAATGAGATACCACTTCATACCCACCAGGGTGGCTATAACCAAAAAGTCAGATAATAATAAGTGTTGCTGTGCATATGGAGAAATTGAAACCCTTATACACTGCTGGTGGGAATATAAAAATTGTACAGCCTTTGGGAAATAGCCTAGCAGTTCCTCAAAAGGTTAGAGGTAAAGTTACAATATGACCCAACAATTTAGGTATATACCCCAAAGAAATGAAAGTATATGTCCACACAGAAGCTTGTACATGTGTTCAAAGCAGCATTATTCATAACAGCCAAAAAGTGGACACAACCCAGATGTTCACAGATAAACCATGGCATATCCATACAATGGAATATCATTCAGCAATAAAAAGAAATGAAGTCCTGTTACATGCTGCAACATGGATGAACCGTGAAAACATGCTAAGTGAAAGAAGCCAATCATAAAAGACCACAGATTGGTTCCATTTGTATGAAAGGTCCAGAATTGGCAAATCTGTGAAACAGAATCTAGTAGATTCATGGTTGCCTAGGACTGGGAGGGGTGGATAGGGAGAATGAGGGGTGACTGCTAATGGGTGTGGGGTTTCTTTTTGGGGTGTTTCACACGTTCAAAAATTGATCGTGGTGATAGTTGCACATTCTGTGAATATACTAAAAACCATTGAATTGTACACTGTAAATCAGTGAATTGTGTGTTCTATGACTTATATCTCAATAAAACAGATTTTAAAGAAGAAAGTGATTGCAGAAGCTACTTAATTGATGAAAGGAGGGTTATAGGGAGAACTAGAAGCAAGGACTGAGCATCCCAGGTACATGGCCCAACTTGGGAGAAGTCCTAGAAACAGGGATTGGATCATTAAAAAGGGATGTGGAATGCATTTCTCTAAGGACTGAAAAGGAAAGGTATAGGAATATGTAAGGAGTCAAAGATAGATCTGGTTGCCTTAGTGATTGGAAATGGCAGGGATTCTCTTTTAAGGATTACCAGCCTGTCATTAATCAGAATTTGGTGACTCTGACCTGGCCTGCTATATAAGTCCATCAGTGGCCGGAGAAGTTAATGTTTCAAATATCTCTAGTTGGCGTACATTTGACAAGATAAAAATATGCTTTTTCTGTACCACCTTGCTTTTTAAATTAGTGTGTATTCTCTCAGGAGAACAAGGGAAAATTTTCAGGCTGATCCAGTGTCGAGAATATTTGTCTTTCTAAAGTGGAAGCATTCAATTCACCAAACCATTATCCATGTTAGGTTTTTCAGATGTTTTCAATTAAATATTAAAAGTGTATGAATCTGAGTGTGGTAGAGCCACGTAGGATGGTAGAAAACTATTATTTTTATCACTGTCCAGAAAACAGAAGTTGAAGGCATTTTTCTTTAAAAAGAGGAATTGTGCATGGATACAATATAGTAATCATATCAGCCACAGAATCCTTAATATTGTATTTGTTGTAATTCCAGCTTTCACACAGAAAAATTATGTGTGCATGTGTGCACATGCTCAAATAAAAGAATCCCTTCAGGGGCACTATGTTGTTATGTATCAAGATATTCTCTTTTCTCCTCCTCCCCTCCCCCACACCCCTCCCTCGTTGTAAATTGGCTTATTAAAACTGGTTCACAAGCCTTCTTTTTTTCCCTTTGTGATTGCTTTGGTCTTGGATTTTCAGTGTAGGACTAAAAATTCAAGTCAGTTTTCAGTTACTAGGATAATTTTCTTTGAATTTTAAATTTTTCTAAGTAAATGCATAGATTTTTAATGAACCCGGTATTCAGTGGGTTTGCTTTAAATTTAGCTGGGAGTTAATTTCATGATTGATTTATTAGCCCTTTGAAAGTATAAAAAGTGGTATCTGTAGTTCATGAAGACTGAAAAACATCATCACATTTTGTTTAGCATCTTTTTAAAACCAATTAAAAGCTTTTCTAAAATGGATTGAACAGGAGAAAATAAAACATGTTCCCTAGGTCTTTATTTCAATCAAGTTGCCCTGTGTTGTGCAGGAGAAGAGATCGAGGGGGGGTAGAACACTGAAAAGGGCTGTCCCAGCAGGGAGCCCCGCGGGAGAAAAGGGCTGCTCTGAGAACTCCCAGCCGCGGCTCGGAAAGCCCCCGGCCTGCTTCATCTACATGCAGAGTCACACAAGGCATGGGGGTGCTCACCGGCACCACAGAGGTTTCACATGTGCTTCCCTGCTGATTCCTGTGAAAAGCTAACAATTGGCTCGGAGGGTAAAAGACCACTGCAGTTCACCCTCCCCGAGCTGGATGTACAATTTGTCCAGTGTTAGGAAATGTCCGGCTTAGCAGTGAGAGGCTTGAAGACACCCCTCCTTCCAGTGAGATTCCTAAAGCCGGCTCTTTTACTCAGTGACACTGGGGCTCTTTTCAGGTTTTGCAGATTTATGGAAGTTGAGGGGAATGTGCTTTTCAACATCAGCAGGATGAAAGCCTTAATCTTAATGTCGAGGAAGAAGCGGTAGGAAAGCCGTAAGGCCAGGTAAATCTTCCCGCAACCTGCAGCATCGACGGCTTTATTATTTTTCTCAGAGAGCTCTTCTGGCACCTTCTTTTTTTCTTTTTTTGGGAGACAAAATAAAGTGCCTGCAAAGGAACTCCTCAAGCTCTAAAGTGACATGACTTCCCAGTTTCCTCAACAAGTGCGGGAGTAGTTAGTTAAGCCCATTAACCTGACTGCTTCAGTGCTAGGTTTACTTGACGCTTTGGGGAATCAGATTGGAAGACTGCATCTGTAGCTACCAGAATGGCCTTGTCACTCATGGAGAACCATTCCTCTTT